CCTGTCTATTGCCTTCAAAAAGTTGACGACTCTACATGTTTCGACGTTACAACGTCATCCTCATGAGTGTACCAGTTTAAAGTTGAACATTATTTATGATGTTAACTTTATACACAAGTGCCAAAACACTATAATTTAGAGATCTACTTGGAACAACATAAAATTAAGTTTCTTACCCGGAATAACATGAAATTAAGTGATTTTTCCCGGAACAATTTAGAATTCCAAATGCTATTCACGAGCTTTGCAGCCACATAAAATATAGTGCACAAAGTAAAATTATTACTTTTAGGTGATCCTGATACATTAACACAAAAGTTTTTGTGTCAACGTTTTACAACCGGTTTGGGTCGCTAATATAACTAAAGAGTCAGTAGAGGATTCCCGAGGATTGAGATATAGTAAAAAAACAAATTAAATTTCATAGTCGACTCAGAGTAAAATGAAATTTTAAAACAACTGATACTTGAATGGTTGTTATCAGAATTGCCAGTTCAAAACGGGTAACTCATAACAAAGTCACAAAATTGCACAATACAATCAACATAATTCTATATTTCAGGAATGGTCAACCAAAGTACAACTGTTGAATTTATTTTCTGAAAACAAAAACATCCAACTTGAAATAATACTGTTGTTAGCTAAATTTTTAATATTTTGATATGCTTTGTTCTCTAGAGCGTCTAGAAACAGTTTTATTAATAATAATAGTGTAAAATCTTGAAGTTTCATGAAAGTTTATGTCTCTGTGACATCTCGAACATTCGTGAATTGGCATACTATATAAAACCATCAGTTAGAGATAATTAATAAGTTAGTAAAATAATTTTGATGAGTTCAGTGAGAGTTAGTGAGTCTGTTCGTAAGTGATCCAGTGAGTTAGGTTAGTATATTTATGAATGATTTAGTCATAGAGTTAGTTAGTCATTAACTGAGTTAGTCAGTGTGTTTGTTATTGATCGATTATTGAAGACATTTTGCAAGTAAATTACTTGAGCTTTATTTGTCAGTGGGATCGAGCGCGGCCCAATGACTAACGTACAGAACTCTCTAAAGAACAAAACTTTGAGGCTGGAGGTGAGTTGTAAGAGTGACGGTAAGATCACACTATTCGATTAGAGTAACCCAAGAATTGATAGTCGGTGCTGTTGTCTAGCTGCCTTTCCTCTAGTCTATCACTTCCAAATTAGGGACGGCTGGTGTAGCTAGCACTCGAGTAACTTTGTGCTAAATTCAATAAAACGACAACAATAGGTCAGTTATGCTTATCACTAGTTTCGAAGTTTCTGTTTAAATGTTGTTTGTGAAGTTAGGCCTACCAGTGAATGTAACCTGTAGTATTCATAGAACATTATTGAAGACAAAATTAATTCGTTATTGTTAAGTGGACTGGAATTTGCATTATATTTACTGAACGATCTCAAAAAATGGAAACTAGTTAAGACTGGTTAACATTGTCAAGTAATTTGACTGACAAAATACGTTGATTGTCACTTGCAAGACTTTATAGATTACACAATTAAAACAGAGAGCTCATAATCATCAGTCCGTATTTCAGAGTTGATTAACCAAGGCATGGGTGGCGCCAGCCTCTTTCCATGAGGGGGTTGAAATATCCTACACAAAAATTGAGAAGGTTGCACTCTACATCTTGTGGAGACGTCTGAAGTATTTAGAAGTGAGTCAGCTTCAATAGTAAGTATTGTGTGCAGACTACAGTAGAGGCTATGCACATTTTGGGGGTAGCTGTAGCCCCAGCAATCTCTCTCACCCTTACTGCCGCCTCTGAACCATGGTAACTGCTTAATTTGACGAACTTAATTGTTAATCTTGTCTAAATTAATGGTCATGTTGCCCAAAGTACCCATGAAATGGACAAAGACATTTAGTCAGGACTAACTAACCAGTTTGGTTGGTTTCATGCTAACTAAACGATTTGTTTGTTTTGAATTTTGCGCAAAGCTACACGAGGGCTATCTGCGCTAGCCGTCCCTAATTTAGCAGTGTAAGACTAGAGGGAAGGCAGCTAGTCATTACCACCCACCGCCAACTCTTGGGCTACTCTTTACAAACGAATAGTGGGATTCACCGTCACATTATAACGCCCCCACGGCTGAAAGGGCGAGCATGTTTGGTGTGACGGGGATCCGAACCCGCGACCCGCAGATTGCAAGTCGAGCGCCCTAACCACCTGGCCATGCCGGGCCTAACTAAACGATCAAATGTTTTTAAATAATCTGAGAGTATAGACAAACCAGCTATTAGAAAACACTAAATTACTTCTCACTAAATTAGTTACCTAATGTAAGTACTGTCGAGTCCAGTTGAGAAGGACAACCGTTGTAGTAATGTAGATCAAAACGGTGCTCTGCGCGATGATCACGTGTTAAGTCTCTGCGCGGGTTGAAAAGGACACCGTAATTATTATCTGCACACGTAACCCAAATTGGAAACGATGGTGTTTTTAGTCGACTTCCTAACTACATTAAGAAATAAATGTCAGTCCTGATTTACCAAAAACTTAAAATATGAAATAACATTGATTCTGAAATAGCTTGATAAAAATCATGAAAAAACTAGCTTCAATAACCAGTTTCAAGTATTGTGAAAATTTCAAAATATTAGTCTTTTTTCTAAATAAATGAACACCGAGATTTCAAGTTAATAAATAAAATCAAAATATAGTCTTAAAATACTCTGATGTTTAGGGACTAAAAAAGTTGAAATTGGACTGACTTATGAAAATATATATAAAGCTGAAACATTACAATCTAGAAGATTTTAAAAAAGTTCACTAGATGGTGCCACCATACAATAACTATTAATTTTTTTAAATTTGTAAAATCTGTATATTAGAAATTTTGTATAATAACAGAATATGATGTTCCGACATTTTGAAAGGTGCTCTAGATTAGGGATTTAACACGAGTAGTTAGTCTATGATGTTAATAAAAGCAAAGATACATCAAAATACATTATATCTTACTAAATAATTACAAAAAAACAAATGTCATTAATGTCATATATATTATCCGCGATATTCATCATGAGCCTCTTTAATCACAGTGACACTACTACTACTCTTAATTTCACTGTTCTTGATAAAATATTTATTTATAAGCAAATACACCTCAAAAGCAAATATTTTTTTTAAATTTTGTATTTATTATGTCTGACAGAACTTTTACACACAGTCTACCTTGAAATTATTCGTGTTATATGAAATTTCTGAAAAGATTTAGATATTAGAACAGCTCCAGAAAAATTCCTTTTCTACTTAAAAATATGTCATTGGGTGTTTACGTATTTCGTAATTAAACTATATATATATATATATATGCTGGCCCCCCAGTGGCACATCGGTATGTCTGCGGACTTATACTGCTAGAAACCGGGTGGGCAGAGCACAGATAGCCCATTGTGTAGCTTTGTGCTTAATCACAGACAACAACAACGACAACAACAACAATATATATACTGACTTTTTCCTCTTCTCATACACTCTTAGATTGTCTTCAATACACATTCGTACAACTACCTCTTTTGATCGTTCATCATTCCGGTTCAACTTGAGAAGACCAATCTCTCCTCTGGACATTAGACCAACTTGTTCTTTAACCTAATCAAAATCAAGAACGTAAACATTCGACAATTATCTGCTAAAGTTTTAAATATATTAGAGGCCACATCGTTATATTATCAGAAGACACACAAAGAAAGGTATGGAAGAAAAAGTTGGTTTCTAATTAGAGCAGTAAACAAATCACCATTCTCAAGATAACGTACACCCGATGTCACTTATTGCTAAATGACTAAATTTTCTTAATTTAGAATGACTAGTTTGAACATTGCTTTTTTAACACTTTGGTAACACATAATTTTATTAAATTAGTTACGAAATTAGGTGAATTCAAAACAATATCATTAACTCTTGCTTATATTTACCACATTGTCCTCATCCAATGTATTAACTACGCCATTGTGAAGGTAAGGAGTAGCCCTACCGGTCAGAACTAGAGTTACTAGAGCCTGACTAGCCTCACACCCAGGTGTTAGTAATTCAGTGTACTCTTCATTTAAATCTTCTTGCACCCTGAGTAAAGATTACAGCAAATACCACTATAATATGTGATATTTGTTAGTCAACAGTTCCATTCAATATTTCACAAATAAACAAACATTAATAGATTTTTCATGCAATCAACAATGGAATAACTAAAACAAACCGATAAAAGTAACTACAAATATTTACATATGAAACAGTTATATCAAGACTTATATCACAAACTCCAAAGAACAGATTGTGGCGTGTCTTGTTAATATATTTCTTTTCTATCTAATTCATACCACAATAGAAAGATTTGTTTGTTGAAATCCAGAAATAACATGAAGCACTAATGGTGATTTTTATTACAATAATATAAAAAACGATTTATCAGGTATTTTACCATTTCTATATAAATAGAAAGCTTCTGTTATTATTCTGTCATAAATACGTTACAAGTTCACCAAGTATCATTACTTATCATAAATATATTACTAAGTCTTCCAAAATTAACATTTAATACATTGAAATAATGTTTCTAAGAAACACAAAAATCTCCATTACGTATATAAAACATATCATTTCAAACTTTAATTATATCATACAGACAACAGATGGTGCTTGGAGTACCAAGTAGAAAGGTCACACCATTAAAAGTCAATATGTTACACCACTTTTCTTGGCACTATGTTTTTTGTTTATATATTTTTTCAGGTAAGTTCAAGTAACATCAAAATAAAATGTTGAAGGTTAATTGTAATTTATAAGAACGATGTTCTACATCCAGTTTAGCCATTGGAACTACTCCTTTTGTACTCATCATTACAGCCATGATTCCACACTATCGTCTGACATCAAAATTTCTAATGTACCAAATTTCTGGGAAGGACGGCGAGGCCAATAATGGACCACTCATGATAATATTTTTTTTTTTTACAGACTCTCCATTGTCCGTGGTTGTTGGCTTCCAAAACATTGTACATTTAAGTGAGCCATAGGCGCAAAGGTCTCTCTGAACTTCTTAACGGACATGTAATCGAAGGGTTTTGCCGACATTCCAATGTCTTCATTCCTATTTTACACATAAAAACAGAATCCGGGTTTCGATACCCGTGGTGGGTAGAGCACAGATAGCCCATTATGTAGCTTTGTGCTTAATTACAAACAAACTATTTTAACACGTAGACACACCTCTGTCAACTCTATCTTAAAAAACTAAAGGGGTACTCAGTAGACCGCATACCTCCGCCACGCAACGCTGATAATATTCGGCTCTCAAAAAAATATGAAAACGTGTCCGTATGCCCGTCTTTATCAAAGGACAGGAACTAGTTTTGGCAGGACAATGAGGTATAATATTCTACATAAGTCCACCAAATTTAATCAAAATCCAATCATTTTTGACGAAGTTATAGAGCAAAATAGTGTGAAAAATCGGTCCGCATGTTAACAGAAAGGGATTTTGAGGATTTTCATAACCTTGCTGTGACCTTACCCCCTAAAACTAATCACTTCTAAATTGGGTCGTAGTCCAAATGTATACCAACTTTTGTTGGCGGAGGTAACAATGAAGTACATGGCTAAACTAGAGGGGCGCTTAGTAGAGCGCATACCTCCGCCACGCAGCGTTCATTATATTCGGCTCTCAAAAAATGCGAAAATGTGTCGTATATCTGTCGTTATGAACGGCCACGGACCATTATTGGCAAGACAATGAGGAATAATATTCTATGTATGTCCACTAAGTTTCATCAAAATCCAATCATTTTGACTGAGTTATAGAGCAAACAATAGTGTGAAAAATCAGTCCGCATGTTAACAAATATGGATTTTAAGAACTTTCATAACCTTGCTGTGACCTTGATCCTCCAAAAACTAATCACTTCTAAATTGGATCGTAGTACAAGTGTATACGAATTTTCGTTCAAATCCATTCAGCCGTTATTGCGAAACCTTGCTGACAAATACACACACACACACAGGGGTAAAAACATAACTTCTCTCCGCCTTCGGAGGCGGAGGTAAATATGACATGGTGATGCAACTAGCCATTTAGCAAACCATCTCATTCAGGGGTTCTATATGTAGCTACTATATCTTTTTAACCAAATGTGGGAGTTCGTATACTTGTGTTCATGTTCTACTTTAGACAAAAGTTCTGTGTTATTTTTACTTGCTTGGCCATGTATTTCTAACATATTCTCCCAAACAGAGGTCATACCTGGTCCAAGGGGTGGTCCATATAATTGTATAAGTTAATATAAGTTTGGAGTTTTCTCTCTTTTATACGTGTGATAGAAATTGTCGTTGATGTAGGTAATCTGAGGACTGTGGGATACCGCACTAAGAATTAGTCTAACTTAATAGCGTGATATTGTTATCATTTTTGATCTTGTCTTCGTCCTGTGCAGACGTTTTGCTTTTCACTTTCTCATTACCACAGCAGCCAACTGAAGAGATATACGAATTAGAAGACGGCCAGTAAGCTAAGAAGTACACTTGTTTGTATGAATAAAGATTATTCTATTTGACTGCTAGATGTTTGTTTCAATCTCATTTGCTATTCTTGTTTGATATGATACTTACGTAACATTTCTGAAACCTGCGCTGTGCGGATACTTAGAATTATCTGTAAGCCATCACTGCACAGAAAACAAAACCACTCATTGAATTCTCTATAATTACCTGGCAATCCCTCGAGACAAAATTATACTGTATAAAAGTAACACCACTCCGTGTCCTATTCCTTGCTGGAACTGTAGATTAGAAACGTAGAAATTAAAAATACTGTGTTGTTGTAGTTATTGTTTTTGAATTTATTCATAACTTACAAATAATTTACAAACATATATATATATTAATATTACTAGTCTGATTTCGGGTATTAAACGAAAACCTGTACCACAATAAAAAAAAAATCCATGTTTATGTAAATGAACAAACATTAATTTTTGGTTTTAATTATAGATTGCAACTTAATATATTCAAGCTATAAGTAAAACTCAGATGAAACTACTTTCTTCAAACTTAGCTAGAACGAATTTATAAAACAGTCAATGGTTCTTCGTATCTCGAATTTGGCGAGAAACTCAGATATTAGTCAGTTTGAAAATTTGAGTGTTTACATTCAAATCAAATAATTGGAATTCTGATAATTATACTTTTTTCAACATTATATTTCAATATATGTACTATAGTTGCAGACAACAAAAATGTTAAAATGGGGGAAATAATCTTCTTGTTCTTCTACCTGTTGAATAGTAGGATTGACTGTCATTATTATAATGTCTCCCATGGCTGGAAGAGCGAGAATGTTCGGCGACGGGTTGCGATCTCACGACCCGTAGATTTTGAGTCGATCATTTTAACCCCCAAGTCATTCCCTTATTTGTGACCATAAGATTAACTTAATAAATAAAGTAGCTAATTAATATTCTGATCAAACTGGGAGTATGCAAGATCATAAAATTAATACTAATAATTCAGCTTTTAGCTTTGTATGTCCAGCTAACTCTTCCCACACTTCTTGAGCTAGTAGAACCAATTTGTCAAACTGACATGGGGTTTCGCGTTTCCTGGCAGTTATTTAGATTTAAAAATAATCATTTCTGAAGAAATAATTACTAATCTAAGGGTTCTCGAAGATTAAACAATCCTCCTTCACCCCGCTCGTGGTCTAGGAATATGGGCTTAACTTGAGAAAATAGGAAATCAATGCAGACGAGGTATGTAGTTTTAAAAAGGTAAAGAGAGAGTAAATGTAGACAATAAAAAGTGAAGAGCAAAGTAAACTAAGCTAAACTAAACTAAACAGCCGATATCAGACAGATGGTCCATGAGGGCGGCGGGAATCTAAAAATTAAAGGCATGGGGTGGTCCGGGATTGTCCTTATATATGTGGTATAGCTTCCTACGAAGGAGGACTAAAACGCGCCCGTAAGATGACTAAGGCATGGTTGGGGTCTAAGAGTAGGCTTTTAGGATCATATCTGACCCCATATCTAGCATCCCATTTTGTGTTCCTGCATTCGCCATTGGTATCCCGGGTGGCGCTATGTTTGAAACCGTGTTCATATCCCCACTCACAAGCTAGCGGGTCTAAACTACAGGTTTTTTTCGGGTATAAAGGTTCCTTTGAGGGTAGCTATATGAGTATTTAAGAATAAAGGAGGGGCTTGATCGGTATATTTGAGCTTCTGTGAATCATAAAGGGACATTTGAACCTCGCAGCAGAGTGCGAGTATTCTTACTAGTGATTAGAATTCATTGATTCATCAGTTCTGTGAATCATAAAGGGACATTTGAACCTCGCAGCAGAGTGCGAGTATTCTTACTAGTGATTAGAATTCATTGATTCATCAGCTGGGTTCTCTCGGTGTTATCGATATTTTCGTTTGTAATCCCAATGATACCTCACAAGGTTCGCCAAGTTAGGAGATTCATGTTAGCCTTAAATACACATACAGAGTGCTGATTGCGTTATGTTAAAATACATTGGAAAGAGCAAATCAGCAAGTGATGTAACAACCACAGCTGGTATAAAGTAGAGGCGCATACAACCTTTGTTATAATTATCCTTACAATAGATGGCACTACAATCTCTGCATACTTAACGTTATAAATCAAACCAGCTTTACTTTCCCAGCGAATGAAAACACGGTGAAGCATTAATATAAACAATTTATCTGTTACTTGAATTATATTAATTAATTTTTGATGGCTGATTTTGTCTTTTTTTTATTCTTATATTTGTACAACTTTCATAGTATTTAATAATCTAATATTACCTAAAAAACAGAATTATTCCGTTCGTTTGCTGTATTCACCAGTAATGACAAAAGTATCTGCAAATTTAAACATTTTTTATGAAATCACTTACCAAGCATTTTTCATGAAACTACTTACCTAGTATTTTTTATAAAACTACTTAACAAATATTTTTTTATGAACCAACTTACCAAGTATTTTTTATGAAACCACTTACCAAGTACGAGTATTTCGTAATGAAACAGAATAAATCCTCTTTTCTATCAAATTCGAATAAATTCAGCTGTTGAAAAACAAAACAAGATTACAATGTTAGAGTTTTTTTTATCAATATTTCATTGCAAAAACCAAGATACCAGCAAGATAAGTATTAAAAACGATTATACAACTTCAGAATTTTGGTTTTAGAAATGATAAGCCTATATTTATTTTTTGGTAAATCTAGAGAAGCTAAACTAATGGTCTGTTAGTTATGTTATCTACTAAAAATGAATATTTTTCTCTAAATTTCTTCAACAGGCCGTAGCCTAGTGAGCTGTGGTTTAGAAAGTCCAAGGTTTGTGCTTGTGATGTGCCGCTAAGCATGCTCCATGTTCGCTATAAAAAAAGACAGTTAATTTCACTGTTTGGTTAACAGTAACAGTGTAGGCGTCGGTTGCTACTAACTGTTTTTTTTTTTCCTGTCAGCGGTTCTAAATTGGGGCCAGTTATGTTTAAACCTCGTAGCCGCTTGACCTGGACGTTTAGCCTGTGTTCACGTAAGGTCCAGTCCAGACTGTTAATACCAAAATCGTACTCCATACTTAGCTTTTTTACTTTAAGTCCACGTGCAACTATGAGTAGATATTATAAGATTTGCACTTCTAAAACTCAAAATATAATTATACCTTTTTTTTAAATATATATAGGAAACAATAATGGAAACGCACAGATGATATACAGGAATCGCCAACAATAAGTATTTACGACTAAACGACCAGTTTATCATTAGTGCAATACATTATTATAGAAAATATAAAAGGCAGGCGAATAAGATGTACAATGCATTAGTATTTTGTATTTATCATATATATTACAATACGATTATTAATCTGTGATTGTGAAATATTGTTCCAAGTGTTCTGTATTACTCCACACAAGTGTTTGGTTGCCGTTTGACCTTCTCGTTTTCTATATACTCCATACAGTTTTAATAATATTCATACTCGGAATGTGTATAGGTCAAACCATAGTTGTTAGTGTTCCTTCGGTCTTCTTTCATCTCTAGGTACCATTTAACCACATTTGCTGCATACATGAGATCACTGTCTTGCTGAAGGATGAGCCCCTGCCAAGCAGTGTTTGTTCCTCAACGAATGACATGGCGAATAATAACGCGATTGTACATATTAGCAGTCAGGGTACCATCTATTTTATGTAGATTTCCAATAACATTGGGTGAGATGCAACCCACATTTGTATTGTTTCTACCAACATGCTTTACTGTAGATGTCGTAAGTTTACTGTAATGCCATTCTGCTCGCAGCCATAAAACAAACCATCGTTAATTGGTGCCAAATAATTAGAATTTGGATTCATATGTAAAGAGCACCCTCCTCCAGATTTCCTCATTCCATTGTTTGAAGTCTGATAGCCATTTAACTGTTGGTTAACTCTCCTAAGGAGTATTTTTGAGCTAGATCATTCGCAAAATCTCTATTGGACTGTCGTGTATCAATGTAAAGAGTTATTTAACACGATTTTGAAGGGTTTGAGCTTTCTACCTCGACCTCTTCTATTGTAAAGAGTAGTATTCATAACGTAGCCTTCACTAGGGAGGATTCTGATTTCTACACGTTTGTTATGTTAGGTTCTGGGACCCACGAGTACATTCCTCACACTATTTCTTTTTTCTACACGTTTGTTATGTTAGGTTCTGGGACCCACGAGTACATTCCTCACACTATTTCTTTTTTCTACACGTTTGTTATGTTAGGTTCTGGGACCCACGAGTACATTCCTCACACTATTTCTTTTTTCTACACGTTTGTTATGTTAGGTTC